TCAGCTTTTGGTTGCTCACTCAATGAAGATGGTTTATTAGACGACTGCGAAGGTATGTCGGTGGACGACTGCGAACTATGAGGTTCAGAAGATTGAGTAGTAGAAAGCTCGCTGGATGATTGAGAGGATGTTGTTAGTTCAGTTTCACTTTCAAGATCAATACAAATAATCGAAACGTCAGCCTTGCGTCGTTTCCTTGACGGTGAATCAAACTGAAATATAGAAAAGTAAGATATCAAATAAAAAAACAAACTCGAAACTTCTGGACCTGAAAAGCTCCACAGTTCTTGTCCTCCTCTTTCTTTTCTTCTTCCAAGCGTCTTTTTCGACTTCCACAACTTTCGTAATGGTCACACCAGACAGACCATTCAGGAATCTTTTCAGGCAAATAAAACTTGTCAGTAACTAGCTGACTAACTGATTGGTCCACCTGAAAATCTACACTACACAACTCCAAGTATCTTGTCAAAGTTGAATACGGTAGTAAACGCAAATACTATGAAAACGTTATGGAAGAAACGTCTGCAGTGACCAGATCTGTGATGTTCTTGGCTTTCTACGAATAATTTCATAAAGTTTTTTTTTGGAATGCGGTGTTTGAATTGTTGAATATCCATTCTCTTGGCGCTCGAATACACTTCTCACAATCCTGGAGTTGAGCCAAAACAAGCAGTTTCGAGGGCTATGCCAGTGTACCTCTTTTGAAAGGGATGAAATTCGTATATTACCTCAACCCAACAATCCAAACCCTCCAATTCCAAACATTCGCTATCTTATCACATGGACAAGCGAGTGGACGTTACTCCCTTCAAAGCAAAGCCTTTCATCTCAAGAGTTCACGGCACTGCAATTACTCAGGGGGTATAGTAACAAACACATGAACTTCACCTTGCTCGAAAGGGTCAAGTGCACACCCAGTTGTAGAGATTTTGATGAAGTCCGATACTGGTATCATGAGAGAAGAACATTTGTCGTGCTAAGCCGTCTAACTTTTTATTACATAAACTCCTAAGTGGGTAGGTTGCTTGGTAAGTTTGACTGTGAGTATACCGGGCGGCCTGTCCTACATATAGTCGTTTTCGATGCAGACGCTGGGGCGTGCTGCTTGCCCACTCCAACAATTTGAGAGAACGGGCTGGCGTCGCGCCAAAGCGCCTACAGCGATAAAGAGTATGCCTTTCGAACATTGCTTGGGATGTGTCAGGATAAATGATTGGAAAAAGGGACGGCTTGCAAAACAGAGAATGGTTTTTAGGCATGCGATCTATACCCAGTGAGATGTTTTGATCAAGATAACGCTCGCCATCCTACTATATATAATCCGCTAAGTATGTCTGTGTGTGTGTGTGTGTGCGTCTGTCTGTGTGTCACGAAATTCATAGCGCCGGTCCCAGTAGCAGTGAGACATTGATTTCAAGAAGTGATGTAGGGGGTGTGACGGGAACACTATTGGTGGGTGACAGGAAGTGATATCAGTTGATAAGATTCGATAAGAGGCGTTCAGAAGGGGGAGGTCACCATATTCATAACGCGGGTGACAGCAACAGCAGGACCTTGGATCCGAGAGGTGATATAGGGTGTGGGACGGGAACATTATTGGCGGGTGACAGAAAGTGATAACAGTTGATAAGATCCGATAAGGGGTCTCGGAAGGGGAGGATCACCAAATTCGTAACGCAGGTTACAGCAACAGTGGGACCTTGGATCCGAGAGGTGATATAGGGTGTGGGACGGGAACATTATTGGCGGGTGACGGAAGTGATAGGAGCTGAAAAAGACAAGTTAACATGGGAAAATCCGCTCACAGCACAATGCGATCGATATGACTCAAGTATAACGATCTCAATGATTCCAACAAACTCATTCCTCACTGCTTATTAGTAACGACATCATGTACGACCGCTAAGCTAGCTCTATTCCAAATGCATGGGGTTTGTTTACAGAGATGTTATGAACAGCAGCAATTGACTTAATCACTCTTACCACAATTATCTTCCATCAACAACCTTAGTGAGGGCCATTTAAAGGGTTCCACTGCTGAATGCGGGAGTGCATTCCAAAGCAAGACGCTTTAAGAGGACAGAATGCATGAATCATAGGCTGCTTCAGCGGCTAACCTAACAGGCTGCACTATTCCCGTGTAGGTTATGAACGTACCAGTCGGATCGCTGGCTAAGGCCGGCTCTCCTCCTTCTGTGATGCGGGGCGCTGCTGCTGCTTCTGCGTCTTGACGGAACGAGCGCTGCTTTTCAGTTCTTGGCTGATGCAGAAGATTCCTTTGAACAGTGTGGTTGGTCAACGATCCGTAACTTAGCACGCAGCAAATCCGCCTGGCAACAGCTGGGCAATCCAACTGGTTACTTCATAATACACAAGAAGAATAGCTCAGCAGTTACTAAACAAGATGCCCGCTGAGTCGTGTCAGAATGAGTGCACGTCGACAGATGGGCAATTCGAGTGGTCTTCTAAGGTTGAAAACTACTGCCGATCTGTGAGTGCTTAAGTTACCAGATTATCATTCTGTTGACAACGTTGAAGGTGGTACTAGTCTTTTGAAACAGACATGGCATAATACCTGATTTCCCAGAGCAAGTCGAACTGCGAGATTGGACGACAGAACTTCACCAGCATAGGAAAAGTTTTCGTCACTACAGGCGTCAGTATTCGAATTGACAAACTGCAAGTGAGGATCAGAACCCGCTTGAAAGGAAAGTTGTAAAGCCAAGTTTACACTGGTAGATCACTATACTCACATCAGCGTCATCTTCATTCCTTTTATCGGCGTTTTTGGAATATGGATATGGTGTTAGTGGCCGCTGGCATCTTTGGCGAGGATCGAATACAACCTAAAAGCACCACATAGAAAGAAAACATTGATGAAGATGAACGAGAGTAGTATGGCCCACAATAGTGTTAGAAATATAGGGAATCCCTGCACTAAAGGCTATAGGGTGGTATATTCACAAAAGATTAAGCGAAGCCTCAAAAAATTCGATTGAACATTGCGAATGTGGAGGATCAGCAGTTCCGAAGAATGATTCAGAGTCAATCAATTCTCATCTAGCCCTCTGCCACCGATTCTCCGGAATCTTGGATTTTCCGCATTTGCAAAGCATGATAGCTGCCTGCGAGATGAAGAAGCATTGCACAAAATTGACAAACAGACTGGAGCTGCCGTAATTTGAGCTTAAAAGCCGACATGCATAAGAGTAAACCATGCCTGATAAAGAAAAGTATTTTCAGCACGAATAAAATCCTCAATGAATTCTTTTGAAACACTCAGTTTCGACATGTTGAGGTAGTGAGGGATTCGAGGTAGCAACTGCAACAGAAAACCAACTTGAGTGGTCAAAATACACTGCAACAATCAAGTATCATACCTTACGGAGATCTGTTCTGGAGGTCTTCGAGAAGAATGAAAGAGCTTTGTTAAGACCAATACCCGGTAATCCAGACTGAAACACATGTCATTTTATTACTCACTAATGGTGTGATTGGAAATTAGGGAAAAGCTAACCTGGAGATAATCACATCCCTGACAAAATACATATTCTTCGAAACTTTGTGAAGTCAAACTGCGAACCCATTACACCCGTAAAACATCGCGGCAACCGGCTCTTCTCATAGATCAAGCAATCTCCTCGCTCACAGTTCCATTTAAAAGCTATCTAAAATATTGATTACATGAGTCCCTTCGCAATATCAGTAAAGAGAAACATCATGATAACATGAAAAGCATAAATTTCTGATGTATTGTGATGTAGCACAGGTGCGGGGTCAGTTCGCTGTGAAAAGATATGTGACGTGTCACTGACGTCATATAACATGTTGGTGACGCTGGACAAGATGCAGCGCCTTTTTTCTTGTCACTAACGCACGTATAGTATGTAATCCCAGCAACGTCTTGGATGGCCATGTCTTAACTCTCAACAGGTAAAGAACCTGTACTGCACCTGCATCTACTTCTTACGGCAAAATGGAAAACTAACTTTTTCGCAAGCAAAAGCAATGAGATCCGAATCTTCGGTTATTACCACGTCAGCGAAATGCTCATTCACAAGAAATGCCAGTTGCGCATCGGACTCGTAAGGTGAAACAATCACATCCACATTTGTATGACCACGAAAATGCTGTAAAAGACTGTAGAATATGCAATCAGTTCATTAGCAATACTAAATAGTATAAACACCTGAATGGCACTTTCCACGACGTCAGAAGTAATGGAAGTAGCTTGTTTGAATTTGTTCATGGCTTCGTTGACTTTCCCTTCAGCAAGAAGTAGTTCACCAGCCTTGACATTATCGGCACGTCGTTGTCGTCGGCCGTCATTCGTATCCTGCTCAACGGCACCTTCTTAGGTTATAAAGCGCTCCAAGAAGACCTCAGTGAGTCGCATCGAATGTACAAGACCGTGATCATACTTCGTGAATAAGGAAAATCAGCGAGGAGAACGAGTAACAAGACAAAGTGCACTTATGATTCGACGAACTCGCGCGTTGTAAGAATGTGCGACTTGAGAGACTCTGCGATTCGAGAAAATCGGCGACAAAGATTTACATGAGCACCCTACACAGCCGCAGATTCTGCTTCTCTCGGAATGCGGACTCTCCTTTACACAAAGTATGAACCGCTTTCTTGTTTTGAACATTAGTTCCCATGGAAACACGAAAACTTGAACAACTACGTACTAACGATCTAATGAGCACCTTCCTTGCAGGAATAGGACGACCATCGAATACCATGACAACATGACAGCCGAGATTCAGCAATGCTTTGATGTGTTTTTCCACATAATAGACATAGCTGTAAGGCGATTTTCGAGCGAAAAAGTTTAAAAACCACAAATTCCGCCCACAGAAAAGAGGTTATTTGATTAGAGTACCATAGTTTGCGTAAGCGTTTTGAGCGACTAGGAAAGTATAGCTGTCGAACTAGAATTCTAAGTGCGCGCCGGCGTCGAGTGTACGCCAGCATCCACTGAAAAAGCCAGTACCCTGATGTTTGCTCAAGCGATGGATCGACACCTATGCGAGTGGCTGGAAACGCTGTCGTAAGCTCAAAACAATTTCGCAAAGTATGAACGCACTATAAGCTAAGCACAATTTAGTATCCAACATTGGGTTGGGTAAAATGGCGGTGACACCACTGTCAGAAATAGTCCTTTCGAACTGCCACCAACAAGGAGTCAAATGACGCGTGATGTAGCAAAAAAATAACAACCAGAAAGTTTCTCCTGAGGCCAAATACCACCCCATCTCTAGCCGCCATGTACGATTCCCGTGATGGGTCTTGTACAACGATGCTACTCTGGAGCGAAAATTGCAACAATCAACAAGAGCTCACACCGTCATGCTAAAAGGGACAGGATAGTTCCTTATATCTGACGAATTTGATTCCTGTTGATTCAACAAATACTACTCAGCTGTTGTCGATGAGGACCTCCCTGGGCGTTACTGTAATCTTCGAACTTCGGTGGGCGAAGCGCGAACATTTGCAAGCTAGTCAGTTTCGGTCCTTCGCAAGCCTACGAAGTAGTAACCATCCATCCAAGCATTTCTCTCTAGTTTCGATAACTACTCCCACTGAACCAAAATGTCACTGCTGCATCAAAAGTCAATAACCCATGCTTTCCTGAACTCAAGCTGAGCCCAATAGCGCGCTTATACTTCGCGCTTGGCACGCGTGATGGCACTGCTCATCGCTTGGCACGCGTGATGGCACTGCTGGAGTATTTGCATCATCGACATAAAAGATCAGATCACAAAGTATGGCACTCTGCCGGGTTTATCGAAAAGGCCTCATTATCGTAAGCAGTAACTTACAAATTCGTTTTCTTCCCTTGGACTATACTTTCTACGCAACCGAAAAGGCCTCTATGCAACAAACAGCTGACGTCGACGGCCACCGAACATCCTGCGAATTCTGCCACATTACCCTGAAATAAGCACAAAGTGCTTGTATTCGGTTTCTCTTGGGGAGAACTTCCGACGAACAGAACGATTGCAAACCTGCCGACAAGCATTCTTTACAAATGGCAGGAGGTTATTAATACCCATCCCGGTGCTTCCATTCGATCAGAAACCTTGTCTTCTGAAAATGCTGATATCATGAGAACCCATTAAAATCGCTATGGAAAACTCACGAACACGGAATAAAAAGTGATCTTGCGCAAGTTCGAAAACCTAAGTAACTTTTACGAAGGCAGTATCACCATTAAAGTTCATTTGCAAGCAATATCATCGGTACTGAAAACCCTCAAGAAAATTGCTTTTCAATGAGAAAATAGAGTTTAGGGCAAGACTGTAGGAATTGCAGCCACACTACTAATTACGAGCTGATTCGAGAGTCCTCAAAATAAAGAATAGCAGAGTGAATGATCTGTAAGTGCAATATCACGACATTGCATTTCAGAAATCAGATGTGATTTTAAAGGCATTCAACGCATGAGAAATCTTTACAATTGCAGAAACACCCACCTAGTACAGTAAATTCTGGTCAAATCAACGATGGATTAAAAAAATCGATGAAAAGTAATAAATAAACAGCAGTACGATCGATCGCACTAGTTGACACAAAACAATATGCCCCTGAATTCTTCGAACCGCTTTCTTTTGCCTTTAGAAATAAGGTTTCTAAATCGGTTTGGCGGGATGTAGTCTAGAACCTACAAACGACACTAAACTCGTTTCAAAATTCGCGCCGAAACCGCACACACCTATCCGCTTTCTCGTTGTCTGCGCTCTCTTACCGAAATAAAACTCCGTGACCAGTGCTGCGACCGTGTGACTTCTAACTTTGTAACCAAAAGCAAGGTGAGTGGATCACTCCTAACACTCCGGAACCCATTTTCAAAGTTGAAGCTTAGGAGCCGCTATTCTTACAAGAAGGGCTTTTTTGGTGCAAACCTTGCAAAGTATTAGAAACCGCAACAAAATCTGTTTTCTGCTCTGCCTACTTTCCATATTCTTGTTATAATTTTCTATTATAAATGTTAGGGGAGAAAAAGCCAACTTGAAGGAAGCTCCTTCAGATGTTTCACTGCGATCATGTCGAGATCAGATGCTGTGGAACTTTTATCGACGAGATGGCGTGTCGATGTTGCTGGGGTAGAGCGGGGTAGACAGCAGAAATCTTCTTTAGCATAAGCGGAAAGACTTGCACGATATAGGCATTTATCGCTCAATTTTATTGGTGTCAGTAGTCTTCGTACTCTTCACAGAGTTACCCTGAACAGGATTTTCAGAACACTAGATAGCCATGCGAGCAAGCAAGGTTTCAAAGAGGATTCAGCATCACGTCGCATCGATACACGTGGTGACGAGGTTTATCGAAGTAGTGCGAACAGGGTACAGCATCGTGATGTGTGAGGTGGTGATGTACATAGGTAGACTTCCCCTCCCTCCGAGAAAGGGTGTCAGTACAACACCCCCCCCCTCCCCCCACCTAAGTGAGGGTCTCGGTACGACCCCTCCCCCTCCCTTCCCCAACACCTACCTACCAATTTCTCCCACATTTTCCAGTTTTTCACCCAAAGATTTTCCGTCGAGCGGGGAGGGGGAAGGGGTATATAGCCAGTGTGAAACGGGAGAATTTCCCCAACTTCCTACCACTTTTTCCGAATTTCCCGAAAATTTCCCTACTTTTTCCCTAAAATTTTGCTGTCGAGCAGGGCAGGGGGGAGTGGGAGGGCCTAAAAGAGGGTCTCGGTACGATCCACCCCCCCCCCTTCCCCAGCATCGACTTCCTCCTTTCCTACATGTTCCCAGCTTTCTACCACTTTTCTTCGAAATTTCCTCGTAAATTTGCTTCTTTTTCTCCCAAAAATTTTCCGTCGAGCAGGAGGGGGGTAGGGGGTATATAACAAATCGGAAACGGAAAAACCGCAAAAAGTTGACAACCGGAAAAAATTTTTTCACAACGCGACGAATTTCTGTCATAGCCATATAAGACCTCCCAACGACCAAATACGACCCCCCCCCCTTCTATGTGTTTCACACAACGCTGCTGTACCCCGATTGCGAAAGTACAAGATCCGTTATGTCTCCAAGAAACCCTTTGACTCCGTCGCGAGAAGCGATTGTTGAAGCGCTTTGCAACCACTGTGCCCCCTGTCACTACAAGTGCTACGGCAACTTCACGATGAGGATTTCACCATCTACAAAGGATCATATTTCTCTGCTGCTAGAAGCGAAGCTATTTTGTAAACATGTGTGTCCACGATACCCAGAATAGAGATCAGGGTAACACCACTAGCAGCAAGAATCACGATGCGATGAGGAACAGAACCCACATTTCTTTCATCAGCGTCACAGATAGCTATGGGCTAGCTATCAGTATACTACAGGGGAAGAAATGCAAAGGCGTAATGAAGAGTCGAGTAAATAAAACCAGGAAAACACCCTGAACTTTCGATGTTTCCGCCCGATAATACGTAAACGCAGAGGGTAACCCACCCACGGACTGGACGCGTACGGAACACCACACGTGGCGGACAGGGCTGGATTTCTTGAAAACTGCCAGATGACGTACTGCCTGACAAAGGAACCCAACAGGTAAAACATTTCGTAAGGAGATGTATGCAGATGGACCTGTCTTGAGCCGCTGAATTCAAATCTGCCTTCGGATTTCGCGGAACGATTCTCTGAAGGGAGTTATACCATTCATTCTCTGCTTTGTCTGCACAGGTCGGAGCGGCCGGTGGTGTAGTTAGGCGTCCTACTTCAGAGGCCCGAGGTCACGTGTTGGAATCCTTGACTCTTGCAAATCTTTGCTTTTATTTAAAAAATTCATATGGGCCCCGAAAACACTATTTGTTCCTTTCTTATGGTTTCCTGATGATGCGGTTGTTCTGCTACTAACTCTCTCCACGTCGAATGGTGAGAGTGAGGTGATAAGGGAAAACAGCTGATACCAACAAGTGAGAACTCGTGCGGCCGCGCCTTCTCTTCGCCTTGAGCACGTACAACCTCAGCTCGGCGTGGGGTCCTATATAAGGCATATCCGATGATTTTTTTTGCATTTTTCTCACTAATTGCTACCTTGCTGTAATTTTCTGAGCCCCATAACTGATCAAATTGAACGCGGGCGCTGCCTTTAAGTTGACCTATCATTTTTTGCTCAGAATCTTTCCTTACACAAGATTTCTCAGCAATTAATCTGGAAATATCAGCGCAATCCTTACACAAGATTTCTCAGCAATTAATCTGGAAATATCGGCGCAACTCTTATGTTCAGATAATTATTTATTTAAATAGGCATCGAATAATTAATTACACACGATATGTTAAACTGTCTTTGTCTCATCAGAGATTGCATTTTGTTGCTGAGCGTAACGAAATATTTACAGTGCATAGCATTTCCAACATTGACTGAAAGGAAATCCGGGAGAGTAGCAGGCTACCTTGCTGCCTATCGTTACGGAAGATCCCTGTTCTCCTTTGTGTCATTTTTCGGTTAGTGCCACCGTTGAGCGTATTGGAGCTCCGCTCGTCTTATATTCAATGGAAGGCGAACATTTGGTGCTTCTTTCGCGTCAATCAACGCAATGTAGGCATTTGAGTAGATGGTCTTGAGTATTTTGTCCATGTCACCAGCACCTGCCAACCGTTCCTTGTAGTCGACCGCCAATCTTTCGAATGCCGTTTTCGGCTTCTGAAATGTAATTCCTTTTACAAACTTATTTTACAAAGGCTGTTTGATAGTTCAAAATCTCCAATCAGGGCAACAAGCGCGTCATTCAAAATGTGAATTTTAGACGAAAAACAAAGGAAGATGCACGTAATTAGTGTTGTTACCGATGGATTCTTCGCTCGTACGTGTGGTGGTTTATGAAACGTTGGTAGGCTTAGTGGCGGCTCTGGCGATGAAGTTCTGAAAGGACCAAGGCGAGATAAAAACAACTCAGAAATCATAAAGACACGGGCTAAGAGAGCTCTAATTTTTGGATAGCTCTGAGATTTCACGGCCTTTGAAGCCTTTGAAATGGAATTTCCTCAGTATCACGTCTCAAATCCCATCCGATTCGTATCATTTTAAGATTCTATTGGGTCGGTCCACAAGTAATGGATAAATTTATACTCAAAATATCGAGCTGAAGATGTAAAGTTTCCCCATTAAGTTTCATACTGTTTTGCAGAGAATTCCTTGCCCTACACGATAGCCTTCTTAGTTTTCTTGAAGTTTCTCTTTCCACTAATATTTGAGTGTTCAAAATGGAGTGTCAGGTCGACGAAACTGAGCATTTTCGACAGCCTTTCTTTTTTACCCATAATTAAAAAAGCTAAACGCACAGGCTCAGTTGTTAAGTATATGGCCAAGGAGCTCTGCTTTATTGAAATACTTGCTATGATTTACTCGACTGAAAGAAAAAATTTCGCTGCAACTGAAAGCTTACTGTATCACCTTATTTATGGAGATTCATACCAAGGAGGGGAATCGTTGGAGGTCATGAAATACTTCCTTATCATAATTTAGCACCACCCACAGTTGATGTTAAACGTTCGAAAATAAGCTGGTAGGTTCTGAAGGCAGTCGCCCCCGAAGAGGGCACCTTATGTGGTGCACATTTACGGGTCCAAATTCCCAACTCTTGATCGCTTGAACCAACCTGAAGCTGCCATAAGAGATACCTTCCCTTGGTCATATATACCATTTTCACTTTAAATTCACCCTTTTTCAAACCAAATTCACCCCTTTTCAAACCAAATTCACCCTTTTCAAACCAAATTCACCCTCACTTTTCAAATCAAATTAACCACACTTATTAGGGCGGGCAACTCATCAACCAGATCACGCCAGACATCACTGCGAGCCCCGCCCCGACGGCCACGCCCACTTGTCAGCGCGGACATAGATTCTCAAATCTTGTTTCATAACTTCTGCTTTTGCTGTTTCCCACAAACACTTTGACTGAAACGACCGGGCATTGACACATGGCCGACTCCGCCCATTCTCTAAAGGGTTTGGTGGCTAGCCCCCTCCCCCCCTTGACCACGCCCACTTGCTTGCTTCTCATATTTATTCAAAATTGCATTTCACGGCTGTTGCGAAGCCCCGC